GAGGACGGCGGCCCGGGCAGCGCCGCCATGGCGACGGCCGCGGAGCGCAGGCCGCTGCCCAGCCCCGAGGCGATGCTGGGACAGCCCTGGAGCCTGTGGGTCGAGGCGTCCAAACTTCCCGGGAAGGACGGTGAGTGTCCACGCCTCCTCCCCCGCTCCCGGCCTCTGCCATCCGCCCGCCCGCCCGCCCGGTGCTGTGACCCGCCCCGCGGGGTCGAGCCGCGCGGCCGGCCGCCCCGGGCTGCGGAGCGAGGAGGCGCCCGCACCTAGCCGGTGCGTGCGTGAGCTCGCGTCACGCGCCGGCCACTGACCTGCGTCTCCCCTCCTCCTGTGTGTGTGTGTCTCCTAGGGACGGAATTGGACGAAAGTTTGAAGGAGTTTGGGAAAAACCGCGAAGTCATGGGGCTCTGTCGGGAAGGTGAGTCCGGTCCCCTGAAGGAGCTGATGCGGACCCCGGGAGGCGGCCCGCTGCTTTCTCGGGGGCCGGGAGCTTCACCCACGCGGCGCGCCCACGCACCCCTCCGGGTGCGGCCCACCGCGGGCGCCGCGCCTTGGGGAAATCTCCAGTCTTCCCGCGACTGGAAGTGGCCTGGACCCTTGCGTAGGTGGCCACTGGCCCGGTGATGAGCGCTGGGCAGCAGGGCCTTGACCTTGGCCCCCCGAGGCTGAGAGCACCAGCGGAGGAAGGAATTGACCGCTTCAGCAAGTATTTCCACAAGCGCCTGGGCGCGGGGCAGTGCCACCTGGAATTTTCTTCTGGAAATCAGAACAAGTTTTGAACTTGAAAAATGATGGAGGCTATCCCCTGTCACCTAATTCTGTTTGCTCCGAGGTACAAGTTAGAGGTGCTACCAAAGAATTGTCTAGGAGAATTGCAATTGATCAGATATTTTGTTAACCGCACGATAGGGTAGAGGAAAAAAAAAAAGCCAGAATTAATATGAGACAGGTCAGAATTTACTGACCATTGTCAATGAAGTCGGAATGTAAGTGGTGAGCTGTACGCTGATAGGAAGCATTAGGGAAATGTTCCGAGTGGAAGTCGGTTCCAGAATCTGGAAATGACAGACTTGTCCTGCTCTTCTTCACATAGTCGCCCAATGCTTCCTGTTCTACACCAGGCTGGCGGGGCACACAGCTCAGAACGAACAAGCCCTTCAGTGAGGTTTTGGTATCCGGAATCCTGAGTTCAGAATGGGTGCAACTTTGGCCTGTGGCACGCAGTCTGCAGAGCTGGCTCAGGGATACTCTCCGGTTACTTCTTGTTTTTAGCACCTGTCCCGCCTTCACTTTCACTGCTTTGGTTTTTTCAATGGGCCACTTAGCCTCTTGGCCCTGTGGGGCAGAAACTACCAACAGAGAGCGGGCGCCTTGCCGCGGGAACAATTACTGAGAAATGAGTTGATTTTCAAAATGAGAGTTGCTGTTGGAGGGCAAAAAGAAAGAGGGCAAGAAGGCAGAGGATTTGTTGGTGATGTTGCAATAGGAAAAATCAGTTGTTAGTCCGGTTTTAGTGCTGATTTGGCAGCCTGCCTGGACTTAAAAAATTAAAATCACTAGGTGGCAACTCTCCTAGGAAGCAGTTGGGGTAGCACTTTAGAGGACCTGACCTGCTCTTGTTCTGGGCTTCCGTTCTCTGGGTGTGGATACATTTCCCATGAAGGGTTTCTTAACCTGTCTGAAAACAAGACAGTAATCATTGGTAATTCCTCTATAGAGGATGAGTAAGTATTTTGGTGTTTCTCAGAGTACTTTGAACTGGGTGGAAACTAAGCCAAATTTAAAGGCCTGGACCCACGAGTGTGCCACCGGTTCTTCTCTTTTGGGATATATTCATCTTCAGGTTTTCCACAAAGACCTGAGACTTTTCACTGTAGCCCCTGGAGGTGTGGGATGTTGTGTGTCTGGTTCCACATGCTTCTGAGCGACCATGTTCTTAGTGTTCGTTAGAGGTCACTTTTGTTGAAAGCTGTTCTCACCATTTAAACGATGATGTAGTGGCCACACTGGCTAGAACTCCCACTTTCCTGTTTTCAGGAGAGAGAGAAATTTTCAGTTCGGCCATTTTTTTTGTATTTGTGACTTTATGGATTTAGGGGCATGGTTTAAAAATCCAAGCTTGAGGGGCTGGTGAGATGGCTCAGTGGTCTAAAGCACCTACTTAGAACAAGCTTAGCAAAGCACATGGAGGGCGGTTCAATCCCCCAGCACCACATGCCTGCCAGCCCTGCCCCCAGGTGGGCTGAGCTGGCCACACACACAGACACACACAAATAAGTAAATTTTTAAAAAAATCCAAGCTTGAATGGCCGGCCAAATAGTTCAGTGGATTAAAACACCTGCAAGCAGGCACAGGGGCCAGGGGTTCAATCCCCTGGTCTGCCCTGCTGACCCTGCCCCCGCAGCACTCTGAGATGACAGTTTAGACTGGGCTTGGTTGTATGCCCCTGTAATCCCAGCTCTTGGGAGGCTGTAAACAGACAGATCACTAGAGTCAGATCTAGTAGTGAGACCCTGAACACCCTGTAGATTCCTCCCTAAAATAATAAAAATAAATAAAATCCAAGCTTGAGGGATTCACTCATAAAATGGGCCTGTATGTTCTCTTAACACACAGTCCATGTCAGGCTTCTTCAGGAATAAAATTGCATTTAATATTCTTGAAAGAAACCGGGCTCTTACCTGTTGTGTTTGATTAGGATTATCTCCTGCTATGAAAAGCTGTCTCAGTGTTAACTAATTCTTTTGGCCTATCATTGTGTGTAATTGAGAAATATGTAGAGCAGCTGATTGAGTGAAGGAAACCGCCAAGTGGAAAATCCATCAGAGAGGACCTCTAAGTGTGTGCACCCAGCTTTTGGGATTCTCAGGTTTGTAAGTTTGGACTTGGACCAGGAAACCTGGGTGTCAGAGAAAGTAGCTTAACCTGGTATTAATTACCTTCTTTCACTGAATGTAACTTTTCTGATTTGGAAAAGGAAATAATATGTGTTTCCCAATAATCCATATTTAATCCATATTTAATGTTTTAAATATGATACATATTGTAAGGACTTATATCAAGTTAGATAAGGCAAGTCTTTTTAACCCTTTCAACTACTGATAATCTTACACCTGGCTTCCTAATTTGCTATTTGTATAGGTCAGAGTGTTTAATCTGGGACCCTTGAAGATGCTTCCAGGGGTCACAGTGCTTCTAAAAATGTATTCAGAATAATGGGCATGTCTACCCTCTTAGTGGGGGCCACAGCTGCTCTCAGATTGCCTTTCCTCTCACCTCACGGTAGTCCAGAACTGCCAAGTTTTCCTTTCTCTGTTGTAACTAACTATGGCCAAATCCTTCCATGGCAAGACTGCTCCAGGGTTAACGTGGTGGGAGAAACTTGAGACCACTAATGTAGGTGGGAGCGAGATGGTTTGTAGTTTAGCTCGTATAGCATCCCTCTTCTTTTAGCGTAAGTAGATAAATGTAAGATAAAAGACAGTTATCTTTCAGAGATTAGTGTTGTTCATCAGCATTCTCATCTTCATTGCTCTGTACCTTTGTAATGCTGATAACTGTAATTGATTTTGATGGGAAAAACTGACAGTATCTTTTAATGTTTTTAAATAAGTGAACCCAAGAGACGAGTTACCCTTTTTCTGGACATGATTTGTGAAATTTTGGACTTTCACTAATCATGTTTTTGTATATAACAAGTTTATGTTCAGGATTGTCATGAAGAACTGATTAGGGTTTTCGTATTAGTCCTTGAACATATGAAGAGCCTTTCAAAATGTGAACATTAAGTGTATAATAGCAAAATTGCAGCTATGCTTTGGTGTCATAGGGGAGTCAAGAATGGAGCTGGAAACAGGCATCGGCTTTGGGACATCAGTGAGCTTGCCTTCTGTCCACCCACTGTGTGATACCAGGGTACCCAAACTTCTCTCCCAACTCTGTCACCGTTTGAGGGTGTATTATTATGTGAGGACTCGTATAGAGTCTGTTTTCTGAGAGCAGAGTTGATGTTCAAAAAGGTGTGTTGTGCAGTTTCTGCAGTTTGTACTTAGTAATAGTTGCTCCAAAAGATGAATGAATTGGGCCATTAGGAAGGTTGAACTGAGTCACTGTGTGGTGGATGGTTCAAGTGATCAACTTTCCATTGTATTATGACTAAAAATAGAAGCTGTCTATGCTGTGTGTGTGGGGGGGGGGGTGAGAGGCTGGTTTTCAGCACTTCCTGTTCCTCTTGCTGACTTTAGTGCTCTGTTTACACTTCGCAGCAGGGTGACAGAGGATGCCACTTCTCACCACGGTTATTTAGGTGAGGAAGATGACAACCCGCTGTGATAGCCGTATCAATTATGGGTGATTTCCCTGTCAAAGTAACAAGATATAATTGATCTGGGGAAAGATGGGCAAGAAGTCATTAGGCTCCTCCACGGTGCTGGGTGTTTTTTGTATTTGTTTTAAAGATCGTTCAGAGGGGTGGGGAACCTCTACATAGACTGAGTCCACATGGAGGAACCAGATGGTTCCTGGCTAGCTAAAAACAGGTTGTCCATGTGAAGCACTGTGACCGGCACTACATTATAGACTTTCTCTTGGTTTTTCTCTAGTGTTTCTCTTACCTGTTTTCTTACAGACAACATGAAACATGAAAGAGAAAATGTTTTAATGGGCCTGCTTGTCACGGTCACACTGTTTGAGGGCCAAACGAAGCATGGTGCGGTCCTATGTCATTGGCCCCACACGGAGTTATTTTGAAGCAGGCCCCAGACATCAGAGCATTTCTTGTGGGCTTCTTTTTCTGCTTGCATGGACGTCCACCTTTATCCTGTAAAGGAAGCCTTGCTGCGAGCCATGTCTGCCTCTGTCTTGAGGCCTGAGAGGTCTCTGACCGTCCTCGGCGTGTGTGCACACACTCCACGGGGCAGTGCTTGAAGGTTGTCTCCATCCCAGGCCGATGTTAGAGCCAGTCTTCCTGTACGGATTGGTGAGAGCCTCAGCCTGGCCCTGGAATCCACCCCGGGGTATTTGTAAGTGCGCTTTGAAGGGTCAGCTAGGTGCTTGGGTTGCATGGTGCCCATCCCTGGAAACCTCCTCTGTAGCTGAGTTTCAGTGGTGCGGTGACGGCTGGCAGCTCCCTAGGTGACAGCTCTTGGTATGGCCTCTGCCTGGGAAGAGGCGTGCTGTGGATGCACAGAGATGTTCCTACACCCTGGACTCTTTCTCCCATTGCAGTGCTTCAGAAATTCTGACCCGACAATGGCGGTGTACAGGGCCCATCCTGCCCTGGCCTAGCGCACAACGGTTTTTTATGTTAATGAATGGTTGAAATAAAAACTCCGATTTCATGACACATGAAGAGCAAGAAGTCAGGTGCTGGTGCCCCTGAGTTAGATTGTGGTCGGACACAGCCACAGCCGTTCGTT